CCATGTACTATAATATAAATATTTAGCAGAGGTATAGGAGCACTATAACAAATTATATTACACAGCGCATATAATTAAAAATAGTCAACAATAAAACGAACGAGGAAAAAGTTTGCCTTCAATATCTTATCACAGTCGCACAAACAGAATCCCACGTAACTTATCAATAACGAATACCAACGATACTTCACGAAACGAAGGAAGGAAAAAATGTTGACATCCACGCGAATACGTGAAGAATGATGGACGTGTGAGCTCATCGTCCAGAAATTCCGCGTCGAGCAATTAAACAATTTGTAAGAGCGAAGCGAACGGGGAGCACTTTGCTGTCGCTTTTCTCGAGAATCGTAGTGGCGCGTTTTTAGCGTTAGATCGCTTATGATCACGTCGTGGTGGTCGTGCGGTTACGTCGTTCCTCTTTGCTATCGCTCGTTGTTCCATCGCTGCCTTTTCTGGCCAAGAGTCGCTCCGCTTGTTTCTACTCTGTCCTCTCTTGTCCGTCTTCGTCTTCCATTTGTCGGCGTTCACAATGTCATAGGTATCCTTGTCCTCTCTCGCAGCTGCGTTATTTGCGGACATTCCATTAACCAATTCGAGGACAGGGTCGTCTTATTACCAGAACATCCTCGGAAACTGCAATCTTTTTTTTCTTTGTATATCGTTGGACTCATTTCTTTACGTTGCCAATTTTAAGCGTTACGTATGTACCATCTTATTTTGCTGTTTACGTGCCATCTTATTTTTTTTGTATGGTTTTAGCTTCATAGGTGGTGTATCTTGGGGAGATAGGATTATGATGTGTTATAAATGAATAGGATGCATAAGATAGGTTATATGGATCTATATGTCCAGATCTCTATATGGACAGATACCTGCACTTCGAGTTATTAATGTTATCATAATGTTATAATGGATCTCTACACCCCTAAGTCAAACCCTTAGCATTTCTAGATTCAGGTGTTTTAAGATCTCTATGCATCCAGTTCTCTATGGTCTAGGATCTACACATCCCCAGAACCTGTGTTGCAAGATCTCTATGTCATCAGATCCCTACATCCCCAAATCTCTGCAACTCCGAATCTCTATGTCATCAAATCTCCACATCCTCGTATTCCTTACATGCCTACTTCCCTATGTTCCGATTTCTCCACATTCCCATATTCCTCACATCCCTACTTCCCTATGTCCCGAGTTCTCCACATCCCCATATTCCTCACATTCCTAGTTCCCTACGTTCCAAGATCTCTACATCCCCATATTCCTCACATCCCTAGTTCCCTATGTCCCGAGTTCTCCGCATCCCCGTATTCCTCACATCCCTATTTCCCTATGTCCCGAGTTCTCCACATTCCCGTATTCCTCACATCCCTAGTTCCCTATGCCCCAAGATCTCTACATCCCCATATTCCTCACGTCCCTACTTCCCTATGCCCCGAGTTCTCCACATTTCCATATTCCTCACATCTCTAGTTCCCTATGTCCCGAGTTCTCCACATTCCCATATTCCTCACATCCCTACTTCCCTATGCCCCGAATTCTCCACATTCCCATATTCCTCACATCCCTACTTCCCTATGTCCCGAGTTCTCCACATCCCCGTATTCCTCACATGCCTACTTCCCTATGTCCGGAGTTCTCCACATTCCCATATTCCTCACATCCCTACTTCCCTATGTTCCAAAATCTCCACACCCCTAATTCCACACATCCCCTCCTCCACACATGTCCACATCTCTAACGTCCTCAAACTCTCATTCCCCAAAACTCTCCACACCTTCACATCTCTACATTTCTATAATCCCCTCATACCAAATCCTCAAATTATTTCTATAATACCAAAGTCTCCATCCACATATCCATATATCCACATATCATTTTATCCACATTACTGTATCATTTGAAACCTCCATCCCAGCCTAACTTCCATCCTCAAACTACTATTGTATAAACGAATACCGTATCTTTGAACCTTGTTATAAAACAGAAATAAAAGTATCTCCAACGATAAGTACTTTCCTTGTTTGCTTTCGCAAATATAGAGATATTAAGAATGCCACGGTGATTATTGGGCATAAATAACAGGACTGTGTCATTTAATTTAAAACGTATTTATAGAATTTCATGGAAGCAAGTACAAGATACCTTATACGGTTTCTTTGTAAATGCTGACAAATAATGTTATCTGGTTTGGGAGAAGAGATTGCAAGGCGATGACGTTATTCTTGAACAATACTGGAATTGGAATTGTATGATAGTAATACGTAAGTATCGAGCTGATCTAAATACATTCTCAATGTGGTTATGGTGGCTAAACTGTAACTGTGTTAGTTCAATATACTTCATTTTTACTTAGTTCTAAAATTATAAATTTATGAAATCTTAAATTTTTTTTCCTTCTGAAACTTTTGATGTGAAAAAGTATTAAGATTCTTGAAGTTAGTAAACTTGATAATAATTAAAATAAATAAGTGTAAATTTGACAAAAAATATTTCTATATGAATCATTCAGAACGTAACATAACCTACAAACTATTAAATTACTAACTTTAATAAACTGTAAATACTTTAATAATATTAGTCTACACTTAATTTTTTGAATAATCAGTCCAAATAAAAATAGCTGTGTACATCTATTTCTAAATCCATCAATGAACAAATTATATATCTACAATTTATAAAAACGCCATAAATAAAAAAAATTATAAATGAAAAAACATCACGTAATGAAATTACAAAGCTTGTAAAATATAGAAGACTTGCTTCTAAAAAGTTTTACTTTAATATGAAAGAGAGTAACAGCCTGGCCCCGTTGCCAGAATAATTCTCTACATAGCACATCTTTTCGTCCACGAAAGATGATTGACCGGAAAGACTTCCGAAACATCTAAACAACGTGGGAGACACGATACTGTGCCAAGTAAGTAAAAATAACTTCTGAAATCTGCGTTCGGTGATAAGTGACAGATAACAGAAAAGTGCACTGCATTCCAAAGAAAATTATCTTCGGACATTGATACCAACATTATCGCAAGGAACAGAGGAAAGTGCATTCCTAACGATGCACTTGGACCAGCATTGTCTAGTCATGTTTCAGATAATTTCTTACGGAAATATCTTTGAGTGATGAATATTCATTTTCTTAGATTTATTATTTAATGTGAAAACTGAGTGACGTTTGAAAGTGAAATTTTAGAATTTTTCAAATCATTTCAAAATTCACAAATTTCCACGTTTCTAGATCTCCAAATCCTCAAATTTCCAAATTTCTAAATTTCTAAATTCCCAAATTCCCAAATTTCTAAATTTCTAAATTCTCAAATTCCCAAATTTCGAGATCCCCAAATTCTCAAATTCCCAAATTTCTAAATTCCCAAATTTCTAGTTCCCCAAACTCTCAAATTCCCAAATTTCCAGATCCCCTAGAAAGTACCCTACCACCCTTCCCACCCAACCTACTCCTTCCTACGTAGTTTTCCACTTCACCTAACCTAGAAACTAGACGTTTAAATCATCGTGAAACAAGCAACCGTGCAGCACGAAAATCGATACGTCTTTTGTCATTAAAACGCCAGAGCGTAGCTGCACGAACGACAGGAAATATCCTGTTACCAAGCGTATTTATGGTCACCATAGTCCGAGGACACGGCCACATGTCGCTTTGGATCCTTGTCCCCGTTGGAGGAAATTCGTCCCGTGGGATTTCTCAAAGGACGTACATACGATTTACCTCTCGAGACAAGGAGCTCCCCACTAGCAGGGATACACGCAAGAGACACCGAGTTCTCAGATTCGAGACGCTGTTTATAACTGTTTATAGTGGCGGAGCACAGTCAAAGTGTTTCCCTCGACATCTTTTTTTTTCTTATAAACTCGAGCTAAGTTGGGAACGAGCACGAGGCTCACTACATAAATTTTTGAAGCGCTTCGATTCGAGTGGCGATGGTGGCTTCTGGACTTGGAAATTATGATGGCTTCGGGGGTGCTTTATTTGTATGTTTCTTTTAGGGAAGTTGACGTTGTATTTTTATTTTGAAAGTTGAATGGGGATTGGAATTCTTTTAGAATTTGAAGTTAGAGAATTAATTTCAAGTTTGTATATTCAATAATGGTCTTCTGTATGAATGGTACAAATTGTGTCCTGTTTATCTGTGACGCACCATATGTGTCATTACCTGTGACACACCGTATGCGTCCTATACACTTCAAGACACACTGTGTCTTATTTATTTCTGACGCACCATATGTGTCATTACATGTGACACACCGTATGCGTCCTATAAACTTGAGACACACTGTGACACAATTTATCTGTGACGCACCATATGTGTCATCACCTGTGACATATCGTATGCGTCCCATACACTTGTGCTACACTGTAATACAATTTATCTGTGACGCACCATATGTGTCATTACCTGTGACACACCGTATGCGTCCTATAAACTTCAGACGCACTGTGACTCAATTTATCTGTGACGCACCATATGTGTCATCATCATAATGTTACAAATTAATGATACAAATTGTGTCCTGTTTATGTGTGAAGCACCATATGTGTCATTACCTGTGACACACCGTATGCGTCCTATAAACTTCAGACGCACTGTGACACAATTTATCTGTGACGCACCATATGAGTCATTACTTGTGACACACCGTATGCGTCCTATAAGCTTGAGACGTACTGTGACACAATTTATCTGTGATGTACCTTATGTGTCATTATCATAATGTTACAAATTAATGATACAAGTTGTGTGCTGTTTATCTGTGACGCACCATATGTGTCATCATCATAATGCTACAAATTAATGATACAAGTTAAAAATTGAACAGCCAACTTATTTTACCTGTCTCAAACTTGTTCATATCCTACCAACAAAAATCTCTCAAGTAAAATAATTCATTCTACCATCAGTTGAGACAAAGAATTACTGAATTGAAAGAAACTGTTCATACAGTAAATATATAAATTACTTTTGCTATAATAAAATACTCACTCGTCCGACAGGGTGAATATTCCACTGATTCCTCGAAATTATTAGTAACAACCCAGCAAGTGCCAACGGGTTCTCGTCGATTTCCTACGGTCGATTCCTTGCTCCATCGATTGTCTTCGGTATCGTGCTTCGGCTGGGATACAGAGAACCAGATGTACCTGGGCGCGCACGACTGCAACCATAAAACAGAGAACGTTTAACGTCGTTCACCTCTCATTATCAATGGACTCGTATTGTTAATCACCGTTCCCTCGCAATTAAACCTAACGATCAACTTGGCGACTCGTTAAACGCACTTTACTTCGACCGACAGACTTCTTTACCGATTCAAAGCGCGCGTGCGCGATCATTTGTGTCATGGCGGAATATTAAGTTCCGAGGTATTGATACTTGGGTTTCTTTTGAAATCAATCTTTTATCTTAAAAGAGGTTTATAGGTGGTTTGACGAGACACTGGTGATTTCGATGCTTGCTTAAGTGTTTAGAGTTTAGAGGAAACACTTTGGGGGACACTTTGGTGTTTCTGGAAAATGTTTTTGGAAGTTTGAGGGGTTGCTTCACTTCTACGAATTGACTTTCTTTTTTCAAGTTTAATTATATTTTTATGTTTGTAAGTTTTGACTTGAATTTTCTTGACCTTTTTCTTGATGCAACTGTGTAGAGTAATAATTAATTAAAGACCTAATATTTTATTTTTTGTAAATATACTACAATATAACCTTCATATATTTTGTCAATGTACTAAATTTTTACCAAAATTGTAAATTATTAAAAATGTACAAAAACGTAATGTTATACACTTCTATATAAAAATTGAAAGCTCTTATATAAGCATCTACTTAAAAATATTAAACAAACTAGTTACAAGCCATTCAAAAAATTCTTTGAGTATCTCAAATATTTCACATCATGAACAAAATAAAATACTTTACGTCCTATAATATAAAATGAACAAAAACAAATAAAATACAAAAATGACCAAAATAAAATACTTTACGTCCTGAAATATAAAATGAACAAAAAAAAAATAAAATACAAAAATGACCAAAATAAAATACTTTACGTCCTGAGACATAAAATGAAAAATAGCTAATATAATAATAAGTCCCAAGCATGATTTCACATTTAAATAAAGAAACACCGTAAGCAAACATTGTGTCATACTTTTTCCCGAACAGCACGTAACAGTCTCGTTAATTCGTATTTTTGGCAATGGTGTCGCGTTTAGAAGAGTTAGTACGTCGCCTCTGGACCCGGGACAAGGTTCTCTCACAATAATCGGCATATTACGTCAATCATCTGTACTTGACCAGGGAACCAACAGCAGCTGATGGCCTTAATAACGCCACATCGTATAAATATACATATGTAACGACGCACTTCATGTCGCTCATCGAGCAGAATTGCATTGAAAGAATTTCCTCGAAACTCGTTACGTGTTGCTCGTTATGGGGCGTGGTAGAAGCGTTTCGAGCTGTAAATTAAATTAATTACAGAATATAAGGACATTTTGACGGCGGTGCCGAGATTAGCGACGATCTTCTTAAGATTAAACTTATGGTAATCAACGGTGGCAGTGATCGTTATTTTTACATTAATCATCTTGATTTCTTTGCGGTTTTTAGTGAAATGTGGTGGACAATTTTGTGATGGGTTTGAGGTAATTTTTGTGGGAAGTGTTGATGGGTGTAATTGGACTTTTATAATTGGGATTTGAAAGTTTGGTTGTTTAGGAATGGGGGTTGGGAAATTTAGGGGAGTGGGAATTGTAGAATTTGGGGGTTTTGGAATTTGGGGATTTGGGAGTTTGGGGGTTGTAGGAATTTGGGGAATTGGGAATTTGAGAGCTTGGGAATTGGGGTGCTTGGGAATCGGGGAGTTGCAATTTGGTGTGTGAGAAATTGGGAAGTGGGAATTTGGGGAATTGGGAATTTGGGGGCTTGGGAATTTGGGGGCTTGGGAATTTGGGGGCTTGGGAATTTGGGGGCTTGGGAATTTGGAGGCTTGGGAATTTGAGAGCTTGGGAATTGGGGTGCTTGGGAATTGGGGTGCTTGGGAATTTGGGGGCTTGGGAATTTGAGGGCTTGGGAATTGGGGTGCTTGGGAATTGGGGTGCTTGGGAATTGGGGAGTTGGAATTTGGGGGATGTAGGAATTTGGGGAATTAGGAATTTGAAGATATAGGAAGTTGGAAATTGTAGAATTTGGGGATTTGGAAATTTAGAAATTTAGGGAATTGAAAATTGAAGAATTTATAATTTTAAAATTTTGAACTTGCAAATTTAGAAATTCAGAAATCTGCAATCTTCCAACTTGCAAACTTTAAAATCCCAAAATCCCAAAATCCTAAAACCTAGATATCTCCAAACACAAAAATTTAAAACCAACAAAACTTCATAACCCAAAAATTAAAAAATCCTAATTACATCAATAAACCCAAAAGAAACCCAAAATAAAAGAAACTTAATATTTTTTCTTGGAGTACAGTTACCCAGAAGGCAAAGTTCCGCAGAATTTCATTGAAAACAGTGACAGAGTTGAGCAACCGCTAACTGGTGGTTCCAATTTGAACACAGCTGTAAATCAAAGGCAAAAGAGAACAAGAGGCAAGTTTAACTGCGCGTACATGCAGATTTAAGAGAGAACAAACGCGAAGTAACGTCGTGGACGTGGCCAGGTAACATTTTAATCGGTTTTCAAGGCTCGCTCCGTGTAAACGAGCCCTAACGAGCCGGACGCTGATTCCCCATGCAGGAGGATCTTGTGTTACAGCTCAACCGGTGCACGCAACGTTTTTAATTAATTGCGAGCCAATTAAGCGGCGTTACAACGTTACATGCCTCTGCTGTACGAATCGGATGCTAGCCGAACGGTAATCGAAAATTAAACGAGGAAAGTCGATTAAGACGTTATTCAAGTTTCATACATTCACGTATTCTATTCTTTTAACGCTTCAACAATTCAATTCTTTAATTATATTTTATAAGACTTAGTAACTAATTTAGAATCACGCAATACACATTTTAAGTATGATAAATACGTTTAATGTAAAAATTTATTCAAATTTTTTTAACAGAAAATTTTTGTAATTTTTTGTAATAGTAAATTAATAGAAAATTTTTGCAATTCGTTGTGTATTTAAAGGTTCAGTAGGTCCAAATTATTAGCAATATTTTATTTGTTTTAAATTAATAACAATTTGATGATTGAATTTTAAAAATGAATCTCGTATTTTATTAATAGGTTACCAATTATTGTGCAGCTAATAAAATGAGTGTTATTATATTGTGCACAGAAACAATTAAAAATATTTGAATATATTTATGGCTTCATTCAAATCAATGTACTATAATTTATTACTTTATATGTTCAATTTTATGCTACTTTGTTAATGTTATTTTATCGTTGATTCAAGTTAATAGGAATGAGAAACACAAAAAGAAGAGCTAGGTTGATTTGCACCGCAATTTATCTATTGCGCCAGTTTAGCTCAATCGTTCAAGGATCACCGTCTCAAATTACGCGTGTGACTGTTTCAAAAAGGGTTGTGCCACGAATTTAACCTAACAGCATCGTTAAATTTCCTAACAAATTGTGCAATAATTAAATAATGTGTACAGTCAGTTGAAAACTTGTGGAGTGGCCATTTAAGAATTCTGCTAATTTCAGTATTAAATTACCAGTTAAACTCTTACTTTAATTATTTTTATTTCTTATTTATTACAGTATTAAATCCCTCCTATTAAGTTTCTCTAAAAACTCCTTTTCTCCCAAACCACATTTCAAAACACCAAAACCAGATTAACAAAATGGAACCTCTAACCTACAAACCTAACCTAACCTACAAACCAGAAGCACAAACAAAGAAAATGGAGTCGAAACCAGCTGCTAGAACGATCGAGAGGTATAAAAAAAATAGCCTGGAATAACTGGCATAATAGAGCTGGACAGCAGTTAAGAAATACAAGAATGAGTTTGGTCATCGGACGTTCGAAATAAAGCGGTGTTCAGTGAACCCCTTTGAATGTGGCTCGTTCAATCGTGCCACTCGTCGAGGAAAAGAGAAGGAGGCGCAAATCAAGAGGGAAGTCTGGATTATCACGGTTACAGCTGCACGAAGAAGAATATCGATCTTCGGCACCTTGACACGAGCTACAGATGTGCGTATCTTGATTACGATACGCGTGTTCGGGAATCGACAGCTGATCGACGCGTGTACGATGATCGGGCATGATGAAAAAGCAGATCAGCGAACAGATTTCGATGAAGGTTTTGAGTCTTCTTTTTTGGGGATTAAGTATTACAATGTGAGAGGAAGCTGTTTGGGGGTGGAAGGGTGAAGTAAAAGTGTTGATGGAAGGTGAGATATATTCACAATTCCAATAGCACTGATTTCCACATTTCTCAATTCCAAATTTCCAAATTCCTATGTTTCCTAATTCCGACCTTCCCCAATTTCCACGTTATACAATTTCCATATTTCCCAATTCCCACATTCCCCAATTCCCACATTCCCCAATTCCCACATTCCCCAATTCCCACGTTAACCAATTTCCATATTTCCCAATTTCCATATTTCCCCATTTCCATATTTCCCAGTTTCCACATTCCCCAATTCCCACTTTCCCCAATTCTCATATTCCCCAATTCCCACATTCCCCAATTTTCACATTCCCCAATTCCCACGTTATTCAATTTCCATATTTCCCAATTTCCATATTCCCCAATTTCCACATTCCCCAATTCCCTCATTCCCCAATTCCAACCTTCCCTACTTCCCTCATTCCCCAATTCCAACCTTCCCCAATTCCCACATTTCCCAATTCCAACCTTCCCCAATTCCCACGTTATCCAATTTCCATATTTCCCAATTTCCACATTCCCTGATTCCTACATCCCCCAATTCCCACATTTCCCTATTCTCACATTCCCCAATTCCTACATACCCCAATTTCTATTACTTCCAATTCCTATATCTCCAATTCCTATCTCCCAACTCCTATATCCCTAATCCCTATATACCCCACATTGCTATCTCCTCAATTCTCACATTCCCCAATTCCCACATTCCAAGAACCACACACATGCAATTCCCTACATATCCACATCTCTAAACATCCTTGCATCTCCACCTCTAACATCTCTAACCATCCTAAATATTCTCCTAAACATA